AGGTTCTTAGCCTGATCTCTGTCGACATCAATCTCTGTTCCTCCTGAGGTCGCAGCCAGTGACAGCTCAGCCTGGTGTGTCCTCCATGGAGGACAGCTCCCTTGCTTCCTAAGGCAAAGATGCGGTGGGACCCCTGAAACTTCACTGCTCGGGCATCTGCAGGAAGACTCCTTGGCATTCGGAGTCCATTGGTGTGACTGTCCGTGGGCCAGTCCCCACCGAAAGCCATGAAGCTGCTGTCTATCTTTGGGGTCATAGAAATTTCTTGTTCACTCAGAGCCCACACTTCCAGCAGACTCTTTCCCTCTATTTCAAGAATGTGGCTTTTTCTGCTTATGTCACTTAATGGTATGTTTGGGGTCAAGATGATCCTCCTCCAACCCCCTTGTTACACAAGGTTTGTCAGGTCACCGACTCCTGGGAGCTAATAACCAAGCCCTAGCTGGAGGATTCCTGCAGGCTACTCAGGGTGCATCTGGTGCACCCCAAGATCCACAACTTGAGTCCCAAGACCTCTGGGAACATGTCTGAGGACCCAAAGCTCCCAGCATTCCCTTCTGTACCCTTTTCTTCATGTCAGGCTGTGAGACACCTGGAGGAACCTGCAGGTGTGGGCAGCTTTGGCCTTGTGGCTGGAGGGTGACCTGTCAGGTGGGGATCCCACGGCCAGCTATACATAGCCAGCCAAAGCTTCTTACTGGAGGAACGACTTTCTGCCTCCTCTGCGGGTCCCACCCGAGGCCAGAAGGCTGCCCAGTAAATCCCCTGGAAGTCAGTTAGTCCCAGAAAGCAAGTGGCGAGTGTGGCGGCCACAGGCCCGACAGTCCTGGAGCTGCCCTGCGTCCTTCCTCAGCTGTCCCCGAGAGCGGGAGCGCCCTGCCTCAGCCATGGACATGGGGGGCCTGGACAACCTGATCGCCAACACCGCCTACCTGCAGGCCAGGAAGACGGACTCGGACAGCCGCGAGCTGCAGCGGCGCCGTCGGAGCCTGGCGCTGCCCGGCCCGCAGGGCTGCGCCGAGCTGCGCCAGTCGCTGTCCCCGCACTTCCACAGCCTGTGCGAGCAGCAGCCCATCGGCCGCCGCCTCTTCCGAGACTTCCTCGCCACCGTGCCCAAGTACAGCCAGGCCGTGGCCTTCCTGGAGGACGTGCAGAACTGGGAGCTGGCCGAGGAGGGGCCCGCCAAGACCAGCACGCTGCAGCAGCTGGCGGCCACCTGTGCGCGTGACCCGGGACCACAGTCCTTCCTCAGCCAGGACCTGGCCACCAAGTGCCGAGCAGCCGCCACGGATGAAGAGCGCAAGACCCTGGTAGAGCAGGCCAAGGCGGAGACCATGAGCTTCCTGCAGGAGCAGCCGTTCCAGGACTTCCTGGCCAGCCCCTTCTACGACAGGTTTCTGCAGTGGAAACTCTTCGAGATGCAGCCCGTGTCCGACAAGTACTTCACCGAGTTCCGAGTGCTCGGGAAGGGCGGCTTCGGGGAGGTGAGTGTCTCCAATGCCAGGCTGCAGGGGGGTGGGGGGTACAGAGGATGGAGAGGCTGGTGGGGTGGGGTGGGGTGCCAGGTGGGGAGGTTTCCCAATCCCCTCCACCCACCCCTTCTTTGATGGCCCTATGACACAAATACAAACTCCGCAAGAGAAAATACCCAAGTACCCAAGTGTGGATTTGACCAAGTGGCTACACCTGGAGGGGCCGAAATGCCCTGGACACTGGAAAATGACAGCCACATGACAGTTATGATGACAGTTATGATGATGATGATGGACCTAATTTGAGAAGAATGGACATCTAA